GGGGGGGCTGGCCTTGCCCTACACAACTAACAATGCGGCGTGGGGGTGTGTGGGTGTGGGGGGATCTCCTTCTCTTGTGGTCTGAAGAGATGAGGGGCGGGGCAGAGATTTAAAAGAAGGGTTCCATTCAGCTGTGTGTGAGCAATATGTGTGCATTTCTCTTCAGCCTGCATGCAAAGGTGTTGTAGGGAAAGAGGGGGGGGGCGATCCCCGATCACAACGTATTACGTAGTCGTCGAATTTGTTGTTTCCGTTTTATTTATTGATTCATACATTTGAAATCGCTGTTTAACTACATATTATCACAGTGTAGGCTCGCGGAGTCGACGCTCACAAACAAAGCACTTGTATATACTTGTATAGTACATGGGGGGGGACACTTTGGACCTGCAGTGCTAATCGCTTTAGCGGGCCAAAATATCACATCAACGCCAAAGTGGACATGGCGTTTTTTTTCGTGCACCGTCGTTTTACTTTTTGCTCCGCACTGGCGATGATCATATGTCCGTTTTGTTATATAAGATATATACAAAAAAAATATAGTACAAAGAAAATGTATCTCACACACGCGCACCCTTTTTTCTCTCTATCACATACACACACACACACACGCACACACTAAACACGAACCAGTTAACTAACACTCACACTGTTCTGTTTTCATTAACCAATCAGTTCCTGTCCCGGTCAGACTACAAAGTATTCGTGTCGACGGATTAGCGGGAGCTGCTGGGCGGGAAACCGCCTGCTAATTTTCATTTTTATTTTTATTTTATTTTGGAAATGGTGGGTCTCTTCAATTAGCACACACACACCCACACACGCACACACACACACACACACACACACACACACACACACACACGTCGACTAACAACGCGTTTGACGCGGGACGAGTGTTTTAGACCCGACCGTCAGACTTAGAGAGCGGATTGGTCGGGCCTGTGGTCTGTGGTCGGTCGCGTCCACCCCAGCGGTGCCGCCCCGCCTGTCGTCCTACCGCTCGCGCCACTTGTTCGAGCGCAGCGCGCGGCGGGCTCGAGAAAGAGGCTGGTATTTGTACTGAGAATGCGCAGTCTCGGCCGGCGGCTGTCGGTAGAGGACCACGCCTTCTGCTGCTTCTTCCCTTGCCAGATCTGAACCCTTCCAGCAGACACCTGAGACATGAAATGTGTCCTTAATAAGAGTCACATTGTGTGTTTTTTTTTTTTTTTTTTTTGTTAGTCTGTTTGTGCTGCTGGCACGTGCAGGTGTCGGTAGCCCGCGACCGTAGCCTCGCACCGGGGTGCGACTCGTACTACGACGCGAGTGCGACCTGCGGTGACACTTACCCGGCGGCGCTCCCCTCAGACCTTGACGACGACGACGGTCTCGGCCGACGCGGCCGCGGCCGCCTGCTTCTTCTCCTTGTCGGGCGTGCTCGCGGCCGTGCTGTGCACCTCCGCGAGGTACTCGCCGCCCTCGCCCATGTTGTTCCAGGGCTGCACCTCGGCCGAGCAGAAGATGCAGTAGAACACGGACGAGGCGAGGCACACGCCGAACGTCACCCAGAACACGTTCCTCCACTGGGTCAGCGTACTCTGCATCAACAAAGGCCGCGTCGTGAGAAATGCATCCCCCTGCATCGTGTTAGAAGCGACAAATACTTGTGCCTCGGCCGGTTTGGTAACATTCTTTGGCGGGGTAAGTTTATTATGGCAACTAAAGGGCGTTGTTATTTTCAACCCTGAACTCAATTGCTCAAGTGCCGTGATAAAAGTACCCCCCTCGGTGTGACGTGTGACGGCCGTACTACTCACGTCCGGGATGAGGAGGCCGACGATGCTGGGCGAGACGATGCCGGACACGGCGCCCAGGCCGTTGACGATGGACATGACGAGGCCCGAGTAGTTGGGGCTGATGTCCAGGGCGTTCACCTTGAGCGAGCTGTAGAACGGGCCCATGAAGGCCATGCCGACGCAGAAGAGCACCACGACCAGCACCCGCTCGCAGCCGGCGTACGTGGCGGCCAGCAGGCCCACCCCAGGCATGAAGCAGGCTGCGAATATTATTATTGGTTATTATCGGACGAAAAATCTGCCAAAAAATATTTCAGCGTCATCACTGCAATATAAAACCAAACTTTTCGCAATCGCCTTTTATTTCAAACAGTTTTGTAAAGCTTCTATAACAAGTGGCTGATTCACGACGCGCACTTCCATAGTTATACTGTACCGCATGCACGGGTGCGCGCGGGTTGCCTACTCGCACGAAGCCACAAGGAGCCGTGGATAGCGAGCATAGGCAAACCCGCCCGCACGCGTGCATGCGGCACAGTATAACTACGAAAGTGCGCGGCGTGAGTCAGCCACCTGGTACAGTTGTACAGGTGTGCAAATAGCACTGGTGAGAAGTGAAAAGGGATAAGTGTCCACTTGGACTTACGCCCTTTTACCGGCGATATCTGCAACCCACCTGCAACCGGCTCTGCACAATCATCACTGTTGCCCCGTGAGAGCCACAAGCGGGAGGGGGGGGGGGGAGGAGAGGGGATTAAAGTTTCGCGACTCATATATGCTGACCGCCCGCTTCGCTGGCCAGCCGGTGCCGATTAATTAATCGCTTTACGACCTGCGGGGCGGCGCGGGCGGCGCGCGGTGCGGCTCGGTCGCGTGGTTAGCAGCCCCCCGGCCTTTAATCTAGCAGCAATTCGCTGATAAGTGCTGATAAGCTGTCGGCTCTCTCTCTCTCACTACCGTACAACCCGACCCCCTTCCTCGCTCCCTCTCGCCCTCTCTCTCTTCCTAACGCAAATTGATGGGGGGGCACAAACAAAGAGCAGTCGCCGGCAGGTTTGTTTTTGTGTCCAAGTGACAAGTAGTTGAATGCCCCCCCCCCCCAGCCTCTTGCCCTTTGCTCACAGAAGGTGGTGAAGGTGCGGCGGTGGACGGGGATGCTGATCTTCTCCGTGCGGATGAGCCAGTCCGAGATCCAGCCGCTAGCGAAGGCGCATATCCAGGTGGCCAGGTTGGGGGTGGCAGAGATGAGACCGTTCTGGAGCAGAGAAACCACAGGCGCGTTGAGCATGGCGATGTGTGCAACAACATCCCCCGGAGGGCAAGGACACTCGCCGCTAAAGTCGGTGTATCAGGAGAGCACTCGGAGTACACCCGGGGTACACCCGGAGTACACCTGTAGTACACCCGGTGTACACCCGGAGTACACCCGGAGTACACCTGTAGTACACCCGGAGTACACCCGGAGTACAACTATAGTACAGCCGGAGTACACCCGGAGTACACCCAGAGTACACCCGGAGTACACCCGGAGTACACTACTGTGAGCCCAGGACGCACGCCCCGCTCACCGTGGCCACGTTGTAGCCGAGCACGCTCTTCATGTACTTGGGCAGCTCGGTGCCGATGGTGAAGAGCGCCCAGTCGTGGCCGAGCTGGCCGACGATCAGCGCCCACACGGGCAGGCTGCACAGGATGGCCAGCCAGGGGATGCTGGTCGGGCGGCGGGTGGCCGTGGCCTTGATGGCGGTCTCGATGTAGTGGCGCTCGGCCTCCGAGATGCGCGGGTGGTCGGCCGGCGTGTCGAAGCACAGCACCCAGAACAGGGCGCACCAGGCGAGGCCGAGGCCGCCGAACACGTAGAAGGCCGAGGCCCAGTCGCCCGTCGCCTTGATGATGACCCCGGAGGCCGCCGTGCCCACGACCTGGCCCAGCAGGTTACCTGCGGCACCACGAGCACGGCGTGCGTTAGACCAACTCTAGGGCGCGGCGACGCAGCAGCAGCTGGGGATATTAGTTATCCGCAATAAAGTACTCTCGGAAAACTTTACATTTAGAAAAAATTCTTATTTTTTTCTGCCAATTTTATGTGGGGAAGTTTACAATTTTGCAGGCAAGTTTCGGACTTTGAAAGCCCTCGCAGCAGCAGCTTCAACTCACCAGCGAAGATGATGGAGCCCATGAGGGAGCGCTCCTGCGCTGGCCCCCAGTAGGCCAGCATGTTGTTGGCGCCCGGATAGGTGCCGCTCTGAGCAGGGCGATAACGGGTCAGAAAAACACTCGAGTCGAGGAGGAAAAACGACTTGCAAACTCGCGCGGGATGCGGGATCGACGGAGACCACTCACCTCGCCCAGGCCCTCGAAGATCCTGGCCACGACGACGGCGACCGGGCCGCCCTTTCGCGCCGCCAAGGGGATGAGCAGGCAGGACAGCGAGCACGTCAGGATGCCGACGAAGAGGACGCGCTTGCCGCCGAAGCGGTCCGCCATCAGCCCGCTGGGCACGTTCATGGCGACGTAGCCCCAGAACATGGCGCTCAGCACCTGGCCCTGCACCTCCTCGTCCCAGTCGAACTCCGGCGGGTTCTGGAGAGGGTCGCGAAACAAAACGGTCATGTTCCTGTTTCACATATATCGCTCGATTCGACTTCTTTCGATCCTTCGTGTGAATTGTTTTGACGTGGCACACCGCCGACTCACCCCCGTGTGCGTGGAGTTGGCGCCGGCGGCCGCGGCGTCCGCCGAGACGCAGCGCTCGCTCTCCGGCACCTCGCTGCTGGGCACCGAGCTCTTGGCCTTGGCCATCTCCGTGATGGCCACGCTCATGGCCGACCGCATGGCGTACGCGTTGAAGATGGCCAGCCCGCCCATCACGACGAACACGTACCTGGCCGGGAACCACCCTGCGGGCCACGCGGTACGGTTAGTCGGGTTCAAAGGATTTCCCTGGATTACACCTAGATTACACCCGGATTACCCCTGCATAATCTAGGATTACCCCTAGATAAGTTTGAATTATCCCTGCTTAAGCTCGAAACAACCCCCGATCACCCTCGAATTACCTCGCATTGACAACAACAGGCCGTTTCCAGCGGGTTTACACAAGTCCCCCCCCCTCCCCCGTTTTATTATCGTCCCCGTAAATAGAGTTGCTTTACGGTGGCTCCTCGTGAGTAATATCGTCGTAAATTTACAAAAAAATTGTAACCTTGAATTATAATTTAAGTTGTAAATTTGCGACAGCACATTTTTTACTGGCCAAGGAATTTGAAGTCGAAACATACTGCATGTATTTGTACGATTAGAAATTGTAATTTTACAACTTGCTTCAAGGAAAATTTTCCTGTAAACCTACATCCTTTTTTCATAGTGTATCCTGGCGCTTTGTCGCCGGCTGCGGATGGCTAGCCGTCCTAGAGCTAGGGTCCCCGCCGGTCTCCGCCGGCCCCCGCGGCCGGTGCGCCAGCACCCAGACACCGGCGCGAGCAGGCGTGGGCTGCATACAGCCGCTCTAATCATCGCCGGACTTTGCCTACGAGCGCCGAGCGCTGCTCCCAGGGGTACTGGTCCCTTGTTGTCGAGTTGCTGGTGTGTCAGAGCGGACCATATGGTGCCATATGGTACTCAATCCAAAGCCTGATTTGGCTTTAAACCAAAGAACATTGCGTGTTCCATTCGAGCGCGAAGGGGGACAGTTTGATTGAGGTTGACTTGAGAGCCCAAATACTCGAGTACACTTGTACTTGAGATTATCAAAGTATACATTGCAATTGATATATTCAAGTATATGCGCGTGATACAAGAACACACTTTTCTAGGTGTGAAGTCAGAATGGGGTTTTAAATTTGCGGACGTCATTCTGACGCACGCTTGCTTGCGGTACAGCATAAGCAAATTTAAGTACGGGGTAGGGGTCTGAGCGTCAGCCACACCCTGTATT